AATGGTGCTTTGTTCTTTTGTGGTGATGAGTGGAGAAGTCCAAACTCTGTTCGGGTGTTGATGGTTTAATGAGATGTAGGTTAGGGAGACATTGAACACTTCAGGAACCGAAACAAACTGGCTAGAAAGGAGGTCGTATTTATACTATTTATGTTAGTAAACTGATTAAGTACTATTACACATTAGCTAACAGGTAACTGATTAAGTAATATTTGCGTTATGAACATGGTTTTACACACATAAATGGCAGTAGATTCGGCTGTTTACAGCAAGGTAAGGTTACACTGACCTTCATACAAACTGATTAGATAGGTTTCAGGTAATGACTTATATATAATCAGGGAACGAACTTATACATGAACATGTGTAGTAGATCAGTAACGACAGAATACCTCTGGTCAGTAATAAATTAACAAAGGTAAATACAATATGATGAAATATCTGACTTATGTCTAGCACAATTTTGAATAATTTGATCTTACGTATTAACTTTTAATAGTTCTGTTGTGCCACCATGGGCTGGGGCTTTATCTCACCGATTTACTGGTGTGATGATTCACACACGTTTCTCATTTACTAGTTATGTTGAAAATATCAGAGAAATAGGCTTAGACATCATAATAAACCATGCAAGGGATAAGCTTGACATTGTAATCCTTTTTAATTTGTTTGTGGGTTTTGTGGAACATTGTTGTTTCATCTCGTTACATAAGATATTTAGAAGTTTTCCTATTAAAATAAAAATATATCCAAAAACGTTTGTTCACTCATTGATACAAATAAATAACACACACCTAAAAGCAATGACTGAGGGGGTGTGGTAAGACCACCTAAAAGTAATGGTTGAGAGGTGTGGTAGAGCTCCCTAAAGCAATGACTGAGGGGTCGTTGCATGACCACCTTAAAGTAATGGTGAGGGGCGTGGTAGAGCTCCCTTAATCAATGACTGAAGGGGCGTGTTATGGCAACCTAAGAATAATGGTTGAGGGGCGTGGTAGAGCTCCCTAAATCAATGACTGAGGGACGTGGTATGGCAACCTAAAAATAATGGTTGAGAAGCGTGGTAGAGCTCCCTAAAAGCAATGACTGAGGGTAATAGTAAGGTCACCTAAAAGTAATGGTTGAGGGGCGTGGAAGAGCTCCCCAAAGCAATGACATAGGATGCGTGGTATGACTCCTAGACGCAATGACTGAAAGAACGTCGTAGGACCACATGGAAATAAAAGTTCAGAGGGCGTGGTAGAGCTCCCTAATAGCAATGACTGAGGGGTGATAATAGAGCCATCTTAAAGTAATAGTTGCAGGGCCTGGTAGAGCTCCCTACAAGCAATGAATGAGAGGGGTCGAGGTATGGCCACGTAAAGAGAATGCAGGTGTGTGCCCCTGGTGTATTGTTTATGTCTCCCTGATTTAAATATTTATATGTGTCCTTGATGCAATGTTTATGTGTGTTTCTGGTGTAAAGTTGATGTGTGTCCCTGGTGTATTGTTTTTGTGTCCCTGTTGTATTGTTAATGTGTGTCTCTAGTATTTTGCGTATGTGTGTTTCTTGTGTAATGTTAATATACGTCCTTGGTGAAATATTTAGCTGTGTCTCTGGTGTATGTTTATGTGTGTCCCAATGTGTCCCTGGTGTAAAGCTGATGTGTGTCCCTGGTGTAATGTTTATGCGTGTCCCTGGTGTAATGTTGATGTGTGTCCCTGGTGTAAAGTTGATGTGTGTCCCTGGTGTAATGTTATGTGTGTCCTTGATGTAATGTTATGTGTGTCCTTGGTGTAAAGTTGATGTGTGTTCCTGGTGTAAAGTTGATGTGTGTCCCTGGTGTAATGTTATGTGTGTCCTTGGTGTAATGTTGATGTGTGTCCCTGGTGTAAAGTTAATGTGTGTCCCTGGTGTAATGCTTATGTGTGTCCCTGGTGTAATGTTTATGCGTGTCCCTGGTGTATTGTTTATGTGTGTCCCTGGTGTATTGTTTATGTGTGTCCTTGGTGTAACGTTTAAGTGTGTCCTTGGTGTATTGTTTATGTGTGTCCCTGGTGGAATGTTATGTGTGTCCTTGGTGTAATGTTTAAGTGTGTCCTTCATGTAATGTTTAAGTGTGTTCCTGGTGTAATGTTTATGTGTGTCCTTTGTGTATCGTTCATGTGTCCCTGATGTATTGTATATGTGTGTCCCTGATGTATTGTATATGTGTGTCCCTGATGTATTGTATATGTGTGTCCCTAATGTATTGTTTATATGCGATATTGGTGTATTATTTATGTGTGTCCCTGATGTAATGTATATTCGTGTCCCTGGTGTATTGTACATGTGTCCCTGATGTAATGTATATGTGTGTCCCTGGTGTAATTTTTTATGTGTGTCACTGGCGTAATATTTATGTGTGTCCGTGGTGTATTGTTTATGTGTGTCCCTGGTGGAATTTTTATGCGTGTCCCTGGTGTGACGTTTGATGTGAGTCCTTGGTGTAATGTTATGTGTGTCCTTGGTGTAATGTTAGTTAAGTGTGTCCTTGGTGTAATGTTATGTGTGTCCTTGGTGTAAAATTGATGTGTGTCCCTGATTTAAATATTTATGTGTGTCCCTGGTGTAATGTATATGTGTGTCCCTGGTTTATTGTTTTTCTGTGTCCATTCTGTATTTTTTATGTGTATCCCTGGTGTATTGTTTGTGTGTGTCCCTTGTGTATTGTTTGTGTGTCCATGTTATATTGTGTATGTGTGTCCCTGGTGTAATGTTAATTTGTGTCACTGGTGTAATATTTATGTAGGTCCCTCGTGTATTGTTTATGTGTGTCCCACTTGTATTGTTTATTAGTGTGCCCCTGGTGTATTGTTTATGTGTGTCCCTGATGTAATGTTTATGTGTTTCCCTGGAGTAATGTTTTCATGCATGATTGCCTTCATCTAGCATGACTAATCATATAAACAGATCTGCACATACACTACACACAATGAAGAAATCTGAGTGAAAGATTGTCAGAAAGAAAGAAATACATTGAATGTGTTACAAGCTGTTACACAATGATCTAATGCACATAGGATAACTCAGGCGTCTTGTTTACATGTATATGCGTATCTAGTCATTGTTTGTGTGTCCCTGATGTATTGGTAAGATCTCTTTCATGTTTTGCATTGGTTTGCAGGTCTGTATATATGCATATTTAACCTGGGAGAAGTAATTGTCATAAAATTTTCGATATAGCGGAATTCTGAATTTATCATTATTTTTATTGTGCTGTGCTAGCATCATTTTATCATCTACTTTTAAATAACAAATTATGTGTCTATAGGTGACCGAAAGCTTATTGTGTTTGCATATATCTAAAAGTATTATGTTTCTAAGAACTCTATTGACTTATTAGAAAACTAAGCTGTATATGCAACTTTCTTTGGTTACGCTTCACATACTGTATTATAATACACTACGTGAAGGAAGCAAAGTAAATAATGAAGTATCTTCTTTTAGATAATAAATAATTGATTAAACTTTCTTACCCGAAAAGAGTTTCAGGTAATGGTGTGTTCACTGAAGAGAAACTATCATATGAAATTACATATATCACGACATCTTCCTGAACTAACATAGACAGTGCTGGTATTTTCAAACCAATACGTAGCTGTGTTAATCATGACTATATGTTATTACCGAAACAATATTTCATTGTGCATACATCGTTTTTATTATGGTTGTGAAAATGTTAGATACACCATATTAGTATCAATATGTATTATTGGTTTGGATAAAAGTCTTTCTTGTATACATGGATCATGCACTGTAAAAGATGATTAGTGCCCACTAAAGCGTTACCTGCATTTGTATTTAGTACGTTGGAATACATGATGGTGGGTTGTTTTCTCTGTATTTCAGACTAATAAAGGAAGTTACAGATATTTTCGTTTTCTTAACTTTATTTTTAATTGTTTTAAATTTGTTGTATGGACATTTTCACAACAATTGTAAATCAATTGACTGCAATCTATCTTTTGTATAGAGTAAATAAATCTGGCATCGACATATTATAAAAAGTAGGTTGATAATGCAATCAAGGTGTGTTTCAGAAACACTCTGCCTCCTGTTGCAACAATATCTGAAGAGGAGCAATAGAAATTGTATTGCGTAAGGCATGTGCTAATTGCATGCACACTTAGTGAAAAACATATCTTCATTGTGGTAATGATTTGACAAGACAGTTTCAGTTCAATAGTTATGGTCATTGTTTAAATTTTCCAAATGTAAGTCATTTATGACATCTTTGTTATACTTTTGATTTCGTTATTTTACAATAGCTGATTTTTACATGGTATTCCTCATACCTGGGATACAAAATGCTCAAGAATGTTACCAATTCTAATAAAGATAACGTTCTCACATTTATTTTTTGAATCAATTGTGTTTATTTGATGTGGTACCGTAGATATCACTGTACAATGGGTTCAAAGAGGTGGAAAACTGGAGGCAATCCACAAGGCTAATGGTGGAAACTGGGAGGCAAGAAGGTAAAATCACGCCATCCAGGTTATTTTATCAGGAATAATAGGTAAAGGAGCGTGTCATTCGTTTCTTGAAAACAACAAGGCTGGCATGGTCGAGCGTTCTAGTTACTTTAAAATAAAGAAACGCATTGTTAAACCAAATGTTCCGCCCGACGACCAAATCACATTTAAAGTTCAATCTACGATGAATGAGGCATGCAAAGAGAAGAATTATGAGGATATGGCAATGATAATGACGTCAAAATGCACTTCAACGGAAATTCGACTATCGTTGGTGATAAGCTACGAGTCAACAAAGAACGAACAAAAGAACTGTTTAAATACCCTGTAAAACAAATCGTAACCCATTTTAAAAAGTTGATGATAGAGCGAGATGTCAGAGGGCTGCAATGTCAAGGGTATGGCGTAGTTTCATCATTTGAATTCGACATAGAGACTCATGATGTATCGTAAGATCAAATAGAAGAGTTAGATGCAATGACATTTTCGAAATCTACGTATGAATGGACAATGTTGATATCTGGCAACTGGAAGTGCTTAAGACGTGTCATCCTGCACAGCCAGACAAAACAGCTGTAGTATTCATCGTTTACTCTTCCGTAAAAAGGAATCCAAAATACGTCAATGATTCTGGATGGACAAAAATAAGGCAGTTGCGAATCGCTTTTCCGGATATGTTGAAAGGAGTGAAAAGGTAAGTAGCGATTCAAATGACATTAAGTAAAACAGAACTCGATGAACTCGAGAAACTTAGTTTGATGTATGTAATAAAAGATTATATTATTTGCTATTGCAACGGATATTCTGTATGTTGTTTCTAAAATGTTAACTATATGTATGCACGGCGATACAATATGACAACAAGCTTCATAAACTTTGATCATGATTCATGATTTTTTTCAAGTTTCTGTGCGCTTTGTAAAAATGAAAATTAGTTTAGATTACAAGATGTACGTACCTTATCAATAATTATTCACTATCTATTTAATTTATATATACACTTGTATAAATATTAAAGAGAAAATTTAAGGGTGTCAAATTTTTACTAACACAACAGTTTTTTTTTTAATTTTGCGATTGAAAAAACAAATTGAAATACCTTATTTCCAACATGACATTGAAATTTTATTACTCCAAGATGATTCTATTCACGATCGAGAACTATGAGAGATCGATTCTTTCTGCAGAATATGTTTCGCCTCAAAATATTGCTAAATTTCAGGTTGGCAAATAAATCGTGTATGGATCTTATCAATAATTAAAATGTTGAATTTCAAATTCTGAGTGCCGAAAATCCTCGATCAGAAGCTCATGCTTACACTTCCAATTAAGACATTTCAGCTTCCTAATCTAGACCGAATAAGAAAACAGAAACATGTAATTACCTTTATAAATATCTCACAACATAGGAAATCATTACTAAGCACATTTCAGGCTAAACTGCACAATACTGTAAATCACTTGCCAATTTGACGTTATTCTATTTATTTGTCATCAAGATTGAATTCATATTAACGATTAATAACATCTAGTGGTCAGTTAGGTCCTGCTGCTGGTTTAGACAGTGGCGTTTACCCCGTAGTTGATAGCCAGCCTTGTGTTGATCTGACATCGGTACATCCTTGCTGGTTATATCCAGAGTCCAATTAATGAAATATTAAGTGTGTGTAGAGATCAAATGTGGTTTGAGTTCACCAGTGTTGAGTCGTTTGACGGTCCCAGGGGCCCATTAACTTCTCTACACAGCCTTATAGCAAAACGAAGGATCTTATTGTCCTTGTAGCCTTAAATGGGACGATACCGTCATGATCGTTGTATTGTATCATCGGACCCATCATAATAAGCAACTGATCTGGATGGTTTTACGATGGTTATATGGACGATGAGCGAGAATAGTGTACCCTATTACAATGAACAAGTGTCATTATTGATTGGGATGGACTGTTTGCGGAAGGATTGACTTACAGTAGGAAAGTGCATTGAGGTTGGTATTCGTTAGGTAAGTCCCCGCTTGTGATTATTGGCATATGGTGGTGATCTCCAGTGGTCTTCATTACCGAAAATATATCAATTGTACCTGGAGAGCGTCACATCAAATTAAGAGTCCTACACTAATGTGTGAAATAATGGACAAGATCTACCTATGGCAATATCGATGGTTAAAACAAAGGCGAGATGGCCGATGGTATAGATGATTTCGATGCTTTGTTAAAAGTTTTATGTCGGTGTCCGAGTTGCTTGCTACTTGGCTGATGATTGCTGGATGATCAGGATAGACAAACATGGTCAGAGCGGGAAAACGTTCGTGATTAGATGAATGAAAACGGTCAATCGAGTCAGTGTGGAACTCAAAACCTTGAGTCAAAAAGAGTGTTCATCTGTTGTGTTATTGAGATCCTGTATTGACGTTGCCGTTTCATCATGAGACATGAGGGGATAAGTGTTAGAACACCCTTCTTGGTGTTGAAGGATGAGTGCTAATTCCTGAGTCGGTCCTGGGGATATGATGCTCAGATGTCAGATGAGAACGAAGTCGTAGAGAAGAAAAGCCATTCTCAGCTATTGTAACAAAAAGGTATAATGGAGTTTCATGTTAGGATATAAGTAAAATTCAACTGCTGTTAAAGGCGTTTGATACACTATCTCAGCATGTTCACATATACATCACGATTGTGTATCATCACAATCTATTCACAGGTATGTCATGTATTTGACATGTGATCACTTCAACAATTTGCTTTTGTGATTTTTAAGCTGATCTATCACGTGGTTCAACTGTTATCACTCAAGTACTATGGGTACGAGGTGTTGGACAGTCCTGTAATAATTTGGACGCTTTCTAAGGAGTCAACCGCCAATAACGGTGAATAAGGTAATTAAATGATTATTTTGCACTAATGAAATTATCTGACATACGTTGAATATCTTACTGGTAAGTTTAAAGGACTATTTTTTGTAGTCGAAGTACTTGACCTACTTCATCCAAATGAATGTAACATAACACATATAATAAATATCTTTAACATGTCAGTGCATATTCCTGACATCTGATATACATTATTATTATCTTTTATATATCTGATTGCGATAACACAGTATCAGTCGAATTTCCTTTATGCGATCGAAACAGATGTCAGGAAAATGATAGTGTTGAATGAAATGTCGTATTTAGATTTAAAGTTTTTGGACACCAAAGCAAATATGTGTTAGACAGAGGATTGTTTTATTTAGTTTTGAAAAGTTATATTTGATTGATCGGTATAATTTGAATTTCAGTTATATTAATCATAAGTAAGAATAGAACAGGTATGTGTAATATTGTCCTGAGTGGAAAATGTCGTATTGATATTTGTATCGTAAAGCAACAAACATTATCATAAATATCAGATAAGAGCTGATGTAGACTACGAGAATAACATTGCTATCTAAGGTTTTCTCTCCGATTAGTATAATCTATAATGGAGGAGCGAGTAATGGCCTAATTTCTTTACTTTGTCAATAGTTTGTAATGTGTTGTGTTTAAACGATATCACAGCCGAGAAATGGGAACGATAATTGTTCGTAAATATGATACAAATATCTGATATGTTTAGGATTTAATCCAATAGCAAAACTTCACGTTTTTTCACCAATCGCTTATAAGCAGCACCTACAAAGTTAATGTTTTATTGTCATCTTGTCATGATCTCCTCCTCTTTAGTATGTTTTTCAACGACGTAATTTACACTTCATAATGCATCATAGAACTTGTTAAATGACATGAAAAAAATGGAATGAAAAACATTAATACCTGTTTTATCTTTAGAAATCTAACTATGCAACCCCCATGTCATTTACTGGTGGCGGCCATTGATTTCGGCACAACCTATTCGGGATACGCCTTCTCAACCATCGCTGATTATGCTAGAGACCCATTAGTGATTTCAACACCCAACTGGACAGCAGAGTCAGGGGGTTTGGTATCAACGAAGACGTCCACTTGTATTCTCTTTAAACCCAATGGAAACTTCCACTCTTTTGGATTCGAAGCTGAAGACAACTATTCCAATCTAGCTTTAGACGGAGACGAAAAAGGATGGTATTTCTTCAGCCGATTTAAAATGAAGATTGGTGGGAACAAGGTATCTCACCGTCTCTTTATTTTCTCAGTCATTGTGGTTTTCGCCCTGCCTCGCGTATCACTCTGCTTTTAATGTATTTTTCGGTACACATGAAAGTATTACTAGTGACGACATTATTTATGTATCGACATTCTGATGATGATGCAAATGTTTATACATAATGATGTCTAAGCACAGCACTAGCTGATGTCAAAATACTCAATGGAAATAAAAGAGTTTTATCTTTTACCTGTTGTTGTGTAGTACTAATTCAAATGTAACGGTATTTAACATTTAATACTTCCAAGCAAGGTGTGGCGTTTATCGTTCCATTTTCTCACATTATTTTGTTATTACTCAAGAAGAACCGTATTCAGAAATAAAGCACCTTGCGTCCAAGACCTAGGTCATTTTTCTGGATAAAAATCGTTTGTTTTTAGAATTGGTGAGAATGGATTGGGAGGTTAATGACCTCTCGATTCTCTGAACTGGTTTATGTCGATGACCAAGGTATTTGTTTTCTGATATACATCTAGCAATTGAAGCGGTCGTTCGAGATAGAAGATGATCAAGGTCGCACCATGCCTGCAATAAAGGTGTTTGCGGCAGCCATCAAGTATCTGAAGGATCACCTGATGACGTCATTAAACAATAAGCTGACTGACGTAAAACTATCAGACATTTCGTGGGTTCTCACTGTTCCGGCAATCTGGTCTAACGCTTCCAAACAGTTCATGCGAGAGGCCGCCATAGTGGTAAGATTGAATTCATTTAATAAGTACAGAATAAAACTTCTACATTGCTAGTGAAAGCAATTACTGATTGAACCAGTATTCAGTAAGAACGTTTATAAAACTTTATGTGGATAATTTATTGAATTGACTTATTAGTATATTAAAAGAATATAGACTTAAGTAGTGATAAAACATACGTTAAATTAAACTCCGGACCAGTTACTATCAATATAACCTACACACCCATTGAATAACAAAATGTTCTTCGGATTTCCATGATTCATGAGTCAGGTTTGCTTTGTTTTAGGCTGGTATCAGAGGAGATCACCTTAAAATAGCTCTAGAACCAGAGGCAGCATCCTTATTCTGCAAACATCTCCCCATGGAACGAACAGGAGAGGGTAAATTGAAGACCTTTACTTCGGGGTTCAAGTATCTGGTGCTGGACGCAGGAGGTACGCGATTTAAATATATCCTTCATACATTTTGAGGATAAACGAAAGAATGTTAAATATTCATTATTAACATTAATGAATAGTTTATGATTTTGAGGATATGACGAAAGTTAAATTGACAAGTTATTAACTTGCATGACACGTTTTAATTCATTGCATGGTTCAGAAAGTATGCCTGTACTTTGCATTCGTTTGAAATTATTCGAATTGGATTTTATTCGGTACAGACAATAAACTGTCTGGTACAACCTTGTATTTGACTTGACGGATGACGTGTAGAGTAGACGCGTGCCTAGCTCAAAGGCTTACAGTGGAACTGACTTATAATAGACAGGGTAATGTCAATTAAAATGTCTATGGCAATCAATTAAGTAACCAATTACCCGATTTTGAAGCACGTCCTGATAGGAAAGACGATTGTAACACCAAATAAATTGTCACTTAAATTTCGGGTCATTATTTCACATTAAACAGCAACACTGACGAGTCATAGAAGGCCGAAACAGCTGCTTAATGACATTGAATTACTTATTTGGCTATTGTGTTTCTAAATCTAGATCTGCATTGAAATGTCACATATGTATCTTTTTCTTTTTACAATTTTTAAATCTATCAAAAGCAGTAGTTCAAAAGTTATTGATGATAACCCTTGCAATTTCAAATTCAAATACTTTCCTCATATTCAAAACATCAAAATTAGAATATTTACACGAAAGGTATGCATGTATGCAGGAAAGAAGAACATCCATTGGTTTGCAATTCCGAGGTAAACTTATTTGGTATTCTGATGATATTAAGTTTTTAAAGTGTTTTGCTTCTAGGTGGGACTATAGATATCGCAGTGCACGAGGTTCAAAGCGATGGATCTTTGAACGAAATCCATAAGGCATGTGGCGGAGATTGGGGAGGGACCAAGGTGGATTACGCGTTTAAACTTCTTTTAACGGGAATCATAGGTAACAAGGCTTTCCACTTTTTTCAGGAAAAGAACAAGGCCGACATGATCGCACTCTTCCGGGACTTTGAACTAAAAAAGCGCAATATCAAACCAAATGCTCTGTCCTCTGCAAAAGTCACTTTTAGACTTCCGAAAGCCTTAGATGATGCATGTAAACATGAGAACAATGTGGATATAGCAGCAATTGTGGAGTCTAAATTACGCTTCAGGGAGTACACGTCCATTAATGCTGATAAACTTAGAATAAGCGGAAATCGAGCAAATGAGTTGTTCAAAGATTCAATAAATCATGTCGTGTCCCATTTGAAGAAGTTGCTGAAAGAGCCGAATATGAGTGAGATGAATAGTATCTTGATGGTCGGAGGATACTCAGAGTCGCCTGTACTTCAAAATGAAATCAGAACAAATTTTCCAAATATCCGAGTGATTGTGCCACAGGAAGCAGGACTAGCCGTTCTGAAAGGGGCCGTTATATTTGGACATGAACCGACGAGTATAAGAGCAAGAGTTTGTCAGTTTACTTATGGAGTAAAAACTACACTACCATTCGATAGTGGGAAGCATGCCAACTGTAAACGTTTCACCTCTTCTACTGGAGAAATGAGATGTCGTGATATATTTGATATTCATGTCAGTTACGGAGATCGTGTAAATATCGGAGAACCACAGGCAGTAAATAGTTACAGACCTGTTGAACCAGACCAAACGACCCTATCATTTGAAGTGTATAATTCGATACATAAAAACCCAAAGTATGTAACAGATGCAGGATGCACCAAAATTGGTCACTTAACGATCACCATGCCGGACACTTCTAAGGGACTGGACAGGTCTGTAATGGTACAGATGACCTTCGGAAACACAGAACTCGAGGTTGATGCTACTGACAAGTACACCGGGGAGAAAGTTACCGCGGCATTCGATTTTTTATAGTGTCACAAATACGAGCCATGAAGTGTATTTTTAATTATCCTTAATAACACAAAAATGCAAATACGACAGAATATTTCACAAACTTTTTATATGACTTCACGAATATGTTCGATCTTGTCGATAATTGTGAAAATCGAATAACACTTAAATGACTTATCCCGCTGAAATGAAAAATCCAACGAATATTAATTCTAACTTGCTTTTTATAAAAGCGATTTTACAGATAGAGCAGAACGTCGACCTTGGGTTGATTTTGTATTGAGGTACTGTCAATTTGTTGATACATCTCATCAATATCAAATTGTTACGATTTGCCTTCATGGCTGTTTACTCACCTGCCGTCTTAAAAGATTATACAGGTCTGTGATGAGACAAATATATTTTTGGTTAGACTACAAACATCTACCTTTGTGTAATATAGACATATTAGTAAGGACACGGATTTACCATGATGATATTCAGAACAATTTAATTTTTAACAGAAAACGTAAGTATGAAAGGAAAGTAAAATCTGTTTTCTCGGTTCCATACCTCTTTTTAAATATAATTCTCCATGAAGTACATTTGCAAGGGCAACGCATAGGAAAGCCACACATATTACCAATATTTGAAAAGCATTAAGCTTTATTGAAATTTAAAGCTTGTATAAACGAAATAAAAAAAAAATAAAGACACAGATTGAAATATCAGACATTTTCAGTTTTAAGAACTTTCGATTAAAAGGACAATGAAAATACTAACAAAATCACAATCCATATATATACAAAACTTCAATAAACCTAGGGCAAAATCAGAATGTATGAAAGATTTACACGGAGACCCCTTCAAATATACGCGAAAATAAGATCAGTTATCCCTTATATGTGATTTTTTTTTCATAGATACTCATATATCACATATGTGCCCCTATCCATACTAAGGACAGTAAGTAGACTACTCTAGATTTCCATGAATATTTCTGTTACCATGTCATATATTTGTGTTCCGTTTTAGATGAAAGATATTTCTCTTGCTAGCTGGTAGGGTGTACTGGCATTTCAATTCATTCGTAAAATAAAATAATGATTAGTTTTCACTAAAATAATGTATTTTGATTAGGTTGTGATTTGCTTCAATAATGCATTTTAAATACTTATGCATCATAACAATATCGTACCTCATTTATTTGTGTAACACATCATCAATCAATTATCTTAAATTACGCGTGTTTCCCCACTCTATGTTTTGTTAACCACCGTGTTCAGTAAGAGTGCAAAAAAGGTCTCTACTTAGCAAGTCAGCTTGGTGATGGCTTTCTGTGAATGCTTCGGTGTGAGAATTTAGAAGATAGTCAATATAAGCATTCAATTGAAAATATAATTTTTCATTATAAGAATTGTCCTTTTTCGGCATTTTCTTAACCTATGAAATTATCTATGATATAGGAATATTTAGCAGCTCGCATTAACTTATGTTGTGAACATATTTACGTCCTAACTAAAATAGTGTTTTACAAACGCTCTTTCAAATACTCAACTTTATTAGTCTATAAATATTTAACATTTCCAGAGTTGGTTTAATCTTTAGACCAGCATACATCAGTGTTCATGATACTTTTTTGTTTGCGTATTGTGTTTCATTAATGAACTACGTTATTAATTATTTTGAAAAATCTTTATATTATATATATATTGTCGTGTTTATAAACATGTTATTTGCATCAAGGATTTTTTTGGATGGTCGGTTGGCTCACTGGTAACAGGTACGATTCCCCGAACAGACATGAAATGGTAAGGGGTTTTTCCACGGGTACTACAGACCCATCTCGTGCTTACATCCGGGCCAACAAAATTAGCATGAGTTGAAATAGCATGCTTCAAAATTGTTGTATGATAAATGAAGTCTATATATTTCATTTTCATTTTCGTGTGGAAGGTCTTTCAGTACAAAACTAATAGCGAAAATTTGTCTTGTTATATATGATATATATATTATATATAAATGTTGTATATGTAATTAATGATTGATTAAAGGGACATAATCGGAGTTTTAAGTATTTCTTATGATATAGGTTGTTACTGAGTTTGATACATAATTATGTTGGTATTTTCTTGTTGTTTTCGAAATATCGTTGTGCTTCTCAGAGAATTGTTAGCAATAAGTGCACAATATTGTAATTTAAAATTCTTCGCTGCTATTGGCAAAACCTGTACCACAATGTCAGTATCAACAAGATCATAATCCAAACTCAAATTCAATAAAACTAGGACAAAGTAGAACTGTCATCCTGAGGATAACTACTACCCCCCGCAGATGTAAAGAGTTTTTACATTAATTTGGTTTAGTTTCAGTTCCAGTGACTTCAATTTTATGTACGACCATTGAATCCTCCACGACATTGTCCCTTACATTTCTGTGTAGTTTTTGAAAATCAGTTCGCAAGTTTTAGGAAGAATTGACCGGACAAGATATGTCTTCACTGACAGACGGACGGACAACCTGATTCCCCCTTAGTTAGATATAAATATGAACAAAAAATACATGAACAACTACAAGGAGAATAACGGCAAGGGTTCCGTAATCGTAAACGTCTTTTGCTTCATCATCGGTACGTCATTTAAACCTTGGTCAGTTCCAGTAAGTAATGTCACGTCCCACCCCCCATCCCCGCCAAAAAAAAAAAAAAAAAAAATTAAAATTAAAAAAATATATATATATACAGAACCACCTGACATCCAACATCGCAAAAAGAATATTTCTCAATGAGATAATTATATAATTTAATGTCGGTAATGTACATAGAAGGTGATATGTCGTGTGCAGAATCTGGAAAAATAACCACCCAATTGGAATTTTCAAATGAGATCTCGATAAAATAAACACAAAAATGATAGAAAATTATTACACTTTTGTTTTTTTAATTTTCAATAGGAATTTGCTTTTAAATACTGTAGTTTGTTATTTATTAATGATCATATTTAATTGTTGAACTGTTTTCAGTTTAAATCCATTTACGATATGAATGCTAAAACTGGATAAAGGGAAATTCAATGAAGCACGATAATGCCGCATGTTTAATCTATTCAGTGTTTCCTACTCAATGGTAATTGTAACGCAGTTCAATTCTACTCTTAGTCATTTTCTGGTTTTTATTGCCACAAGGAGAACAATCTCAATTTGTTTACATTATTTCAAATAATATTTCCACAACATGGACAGTTCATTCCAAGTACTATAAGATTCACAAAAACGCACCCACGAATAGTATATTTCAATTTCAAAGTAGATTAAAAGTTTCCAAATATTTTCGACCTTGTTCATACTGTCAAAAAACCATTTGCTTAAATCAAATAACATCGCATTTGAACGATACATAATTTACAAACACAGTCGATATTAAAAACAAAATATACTGAGACTAACACTAGATACTCCAAATTTGGTAATGTTTAATTAACCGTTAGTAAATAACAAACAGAAGGCTTTATTGACATGGAAACCTATCGTAGCAGCTAAGTGAAAGCAAAGAACACTTTCGTAAAGTCTGTAAATGTGGTACACAACAACACACCAGGGACACATATACACATATACATGGGGCATACTTACACACTTCACTAAGGAAACACATAAACAATACATCTGTGACACACACACAATATACAAGGAACACACGTACACAAGGAACACGCTTAAACAATAATCCAGTAACACATATACACAATACAACAGGGAAACACATAAACAATACACCTGGGACACATATAAACATTACACCAAGGGCACACATAAACATTACATCAGGGACATACATTCCATTATACCAGGGACACACATCAACATTACACCTGGGACACAAATAAACTATACATATGGGACACACTTAAACAATACACCTGGGACACACATAAAAAATACACTAGGGACACATACACAATAAACCAGAGATATTTAAACGATACTCAAGAGACACACAAAAACAATAAACCAGGGACACACATCAACAATACACCAGGGACACACATCAACAATACTTCAGAGACACACAAAAACAATACACCATCGAGACTTAAACAATACCAAGTTACGCTCATTAACATCAGCAATGAATGACACAAAAGCATTCACTAGCGAACTTGTCAAACTAAGTGAACATATCCGAACACTACACAGTAAACACATCAGATAATAGAATGTAAAATCATTCATACGTGTTATTTGTAGCATTATATCAACAATCTTGATACGGTATTCTAGAAATATAAGCTGCTCTTTACACGAAATAAGAAAGTTATTTACAACATTTTAATATTTCTTTTCATTATCTTTGAATGTGATCATTTCAATTGACAAAGCGATTGGTGAATCCCAATTGTATGCCACGTTGTCAAATAACAAATTCAATTACATCTCTATGATGACAAATTATAATGTGAAAAAAGCGAAATCAAACATCATTGTAGTGATGTATATTAGATTATAGTTATTACATTTTATTAGTTAAGTTTATTTAAATATCTGCCACTTTGTGACTACATATTTTCCCTTTATAGATATATACTACGAGGCTGTTTGTATTAAAGGTTAAATGAAGCATCATGCTGAACATTGATTACCACTATTCTAATATATCGTTTATTTCCCTTCTGATTTCCTCAGACTTCCGGGTATGGTAGTTTGCCGTCAGGTCGTTCGCGAGGTCGTAAAAACAATCAATGAAACAGACACGTAGTAAATATGTATTGTTGACGCTCAGATTTCGTGTAACCTATATACATGCAAAATTATTCTGATGTCAAGTGGTTACTTAATGCTTCAACTGTTGTACTGTCTGATATATTGTTACTAGGTAAATCATTATATTTCTGCTTCTGTAAGCATATAAAGGTGAGGGATATGGGAGTTGTACAGTTCACCTTTCAACATTTGCCAAATTCTTGTTAGGTGATCAAAGTGATTTGTAAAAAAATCGTGGAGAGAATTGAGAAGTTTCTTCAACTCGTCTTACACTTGAATTATCACTCTCTTCTCTAGCATTGACCGTAAATGACGATTTAACATCTTTTCACAAGTTGAACTGATAAACTAGAATATCTTTTTCTTTATTAAACAATTAAGGCAAGTAGTTTGAGACGGAAATTTTATATATTTTACTGAGGCAAGCATTTCAAAGTAACAATTTATAGAAGTGCTTGATGGAGAAAAATACCATTCTACGGTGCTAAGAGTTTAACAAATTGCAGCAAAAAGGATGAAATTAAAAAAAAAAATGATCTGCACAAAAATGTTTTTTATATATTTTCTTGTATTTACTTGTAGAAATCCAAAATATTTCCTTTATAGTTTTGTTGATAAGATAAAAGCCGTAAACTCCAAATTCAATAGATATGTTATTATCATTCACAATTTATGTTAATAGTGAAGTTGAATCGAGTACCTTCTCATATCTTTACGCTATCATTCTCTTGTTTCTATACTAATGAATCCGTACTCAAAGAATGACAGTTTTGTTTGCTTGTTATTTCTAATCATCAATACCGGTAACATTTAAAATCACAAAGCACCTTTATTTGCAATGTTAAAGTGGCTATTCTAGCTCAACACCTCCAGAAACCTCGACTGACATTGCGGCTTCCCTCCCACTATTTCTGTCAACAGCTGTAATCTCTATTTCTGTTTTGGTGTAAGATATCTGTACTTCTACCAACCAGTCCAGTCCCTTAGCACTGTCAGACAGAGTGATTGTCACATGACCGATCTTGGCACATCCGGGGTCTGTTACGTACTTGAGATTTTTCTTTGTGGAAGTGTACAAATAGAATCGAATGGCAGTGTGGCCAGGTTCACATGGGTTGTAAAATCTAACTATCAGTGGCATTCGGAAATCCACGCAATCTCCAGCAACAACATGGATATCAAATAAATCATTAACTTTCCATTTTCAAGGTGAAGTGGTGAAAGGCATAGCAGAATCGTATTTCTCAGGATTAAATGTCCATGCTTGGCCTGAGCCAGAGGTATATTTGAACAATCATGAACTGACGGACCACGGTGCATATCCGAGCATAACAGCACCTTTAAGAACCGATAACCCCGGATCAGGAGGCACAATCACTCGCAGGTTTGGAAACTTTGTTTTTATTTCATTTTGAAGTATGGTGGACCCCGAAAAACCTCCTACCATCAAGATAGACTTTACCTCTCCATGTCCCAGAATGAAGCAGCCGTATGATTCATTTTGAGTTTAGTTAGGCTCTTAATTTGTATTTGTACATTTGTACAATCATTTCTATGATGTCCTTTGGTCATCAGCAGTGTAATTGTATTGAAGTCTATACATATTTCAGTTAGTAAAAAGGAGAAAAATAAACCCATTTAATTTAAAAGAATTCATCTTCTTTTATAGATTTGATCACAAATATGTTTTCAATTTTGAAAGTAATTAACCAAGCAGACTTCATTACTACCTTGTTCTCATCAAGCTTCATTTTAAATCGGCGGAAGTAATACCATCCTTCATGTTCCACGTCTAAAGTAAGATCGGAGTACTTGTCTTCATCCTCAAAACCATAAAAAGTAGGAGTCTCCGTTGGGTTTAAAGATAATACAAGTGGACGTCTTCGAGACCTTTAGACCTCTTGATCCTGCTGTCAAGTTGTTGGTTGAGATCTTCAATGGATCCTTTTCATAACCATAACGGAAAGAAAAGGCGTATCCTGAGTATCTGTTACCGAAATCAATGGCAGCCACCATCAGATGTTCATCTGATGAAGCCATGCCGATTTCTGAAATCTAAAACAACTGGATACAGAATATCTTCCATTAAAATGGTTCAGCTGTTTTATGTTTTATTGACAAATTGACCATTCTGTTGTAATTATAGCTTCATTTATGTATAAGGGCACACTTGTATGAATTTCACATCAACTAACAATACTTATTGTCTATAATATTGTATTCATTCTTTAGTCAATGAGGTTTCTGTTTATACTAGTGTTTACAAATGATATTCAACAAGATTTGCATCATCACTAATGTTATGTTAATATTGTTATTGTTATGACCGACAAATAAATACATGTTTCTTTTCGTTTTCTGTATTTTTTTTTTCAATAACTCCAAGTCATATGTATTTGTTATAGCCATCAAAACACTTTCGGTGTCATATCATATTTGTATCCCCCCCCCCTCACACTTTTTCTGGCCATCATGATAGTATCGCTTTATAATATTTTTAGTCCCCCTCATCATCTTTTTTCATTCGAATTGTACAAGGTTAATTTGGGGAGACGACAATCATAAAAATAATTATAAGTAACTGTGAAGGTGTCATGGTGACTTAAATAGATAAATCGGGAATGACACCTGTATTATATAACAAGGGGGCTGGGGTCACACCTACCAGTGAGGAGATATGCAGGGTACAGATAAATTTTCTGACAGCCGCCATAAAATCATCCCCATTACAGTACAATATCCCCAGAATGAGATATAATAAGGGTGGGGATACTTTTATGATGGCTGTCAGAAAATGATTTAGGGGACACTTTTCTGATATACTAGGGGTGATAGATTAATGATAGCCTTCAGAATAGTATCTAGGAGACAATCATCTGAAATATTAGGGAGTGGAGGATACTGTTATCACCCCTAATGTATCATAAATGTATCCTCCCCCGTAGTATATCTGATAAATGTTCCCTATTTACTATATCTACTATAATGTACTTTATACCTTCTTTCATCTTTTTATTAAGTAATGTATGCGTTAGTTATATGCAATAAACTCTCTGCTAGCATCACTATTTCTGTTTGTTATCTATATATCAATCGCTTGAATACCTGCCAACCCAACTCCCATCCCCTGTCCCTGCAAGTATAGTTATGTTTATTAAATGAACATTATTGCAACCGTTAAATTCTAAAACGAAATCTGATTCCTTTACCTTTTTTTACCTTGAGCGTACAGGTATGAAAAACATCAATACACAAAAGTTCTCATCCAACACACACACACACACACACACACACACACACACACACACACACACACCCTCAGTTAGCATACTGTAGAGGAAATTCAACATGTTGCCCATGCACAATCAAATAATTTTCTTTTACTCATGATTATAAATTTTGATAAAATCTATAATTCTTTTTTGCTCATAGATTTGGATAAATTTAAACATACTGGGCCTATAATAATAGTTTCCTTAAATCCGCATATCTTTGACATTTAACTATAAAATGAAATTTCCGAAAGATTTTTTAGGATAATTCTGAAAACCAAAATCTTCACCGATATATTTATACAGGGAACATTGGGAAGATGAATTTATATTTTCATAACACTTTTGTTTAAATCTAACAATATAGTTTTAATAATGTTTATAATATAATTGGGTGTAACAATATCTTTATATTGCCATTTGTACTCCAAACCCAAAGTGAAAAGTTCAGCTCTCACACCATGCAGCCATTCGTTTCCGTTTTCTGACATATCTTGGTAACAGGCTTGTTACAAACAGTTATCAGAAAGCTTTATGTTCATACAATACTTAAAGATACGATATCTTTTTATAATCTCCAGATGATCTCTACCTAGTTCTCGGTAGACCGTAACATTTGCAGTAGATATCTTTACCCCTAATAATCTTTAACAATGCCTTACAGAAGTGATATACACGAGATCGGCCTGATACAGATCAACCGGTGAAAACAGAGAAAACTATAGGAATAATAGCTCCGCCCAGTTTTTTCCGTGATAACAGTTTCTCAATATCTTGTACTTATGAAAACCCCAGATTTCAGCCACATAATTCAATATACTACAAACCTGTGTGTTAAAAACGTGAAGTTGTCTTTCGAAACTAAAACAATTTTCCTTACAGACATTAGATAGGGAGAACAAGGCTTTTCTATCGTGCATGGCTATTTTCTTTGTTTTTGACGCATTTACGGTAAGATTCCATTTATTTGTATACAATAATGAATGTAGCATTTTCTGTAATTCCTTATCTATTTCCGCCAGAAGTACCATGTCGTCTGCATAGATCAATACAAATTAATTTATAGTTTGCAGTTCACCAGATGAATACTCATTTGGGAAGAAATGGATTTCACAATCATGTAAAGAAAACAACAGAGGAGAAAACATTCATCATTACAAGATAATAAATTAGACTAACAATAATCATACTTTGCACAGCATTTACATTATTATATAAAGATTTATTATATTGAGCATGTTATCTACAATGCCTTCCTTTATCAGATTGTATCATACATTATGACTGTTGATGAAGTCAAATGTCTTTTTGTAATCAGCAAAGCAGCGGTATAATTTCTTTGTTCGTATTTTACTACACTACAAATACAGCAGATGTGGTTGACTATTGCTTCCTAAATCCAAACTGAACATTTGTTGCTTTAGAATAAACCGCGTCCAAATTAACAAGTCACTCATTTAATATAGAAGTCAACATGGTCCCTAAACAGCTGTGTAAGGTTTTCCCTCTGTAGTTGTTGGTCTCGTTTAAGTCACCTTTCTGAAAACTTTGAACTATATTTCCTTCAGACTATGACGTAGGAAAATAGTCAGAATTAACAACATTATTAAACAACACCGCAAGACCGGGTACAAGTGTGTCTTTCCCTTAAGAAAATACTCATTTATTAACATATCCTGGTCACACGCTTTCGATGTTTTTTATTCATTGGTGGCTTTAATAACCTCACAATCAAATATATTTTCATCTAATTCTTGTAAACGAGTACTTGATACACTAACATCGTATCTATTGAAATGAAAAACAGTTACCATTTCATTATCGTCTGGTTCTGTTGATGACAACTCATTAGAGTAATAATAAAAGTTCTGTTCGCCAAGCCTTCACATTCCATTATACTTTTGATTTCTAACGATACAAAAATTTCTGATTACTTTTTTTCATATATTTTCGATATATTATCTTTTTGTGATTTATATCTAATTTCAATTCTAGCTTTTTATAGTTACGCTTTTTATGTACAAGGGCATCACTGTTTGCATCCGTCATTACGATGTTTAAAGTTTATAATGAGTTTTTTTTATTCAACATACATGTTGTTACAGACTTCATTAAACCATGTCTTATACTCAACATGACTTTTATTAAAAGTTGGAAGTTGCGATATTCAAAGTCGTCAATGGTTCAGAATACAGTGAAAATACAAAAGAGATAAATATAATCAAAGGATGTACACAAATTTTCAACTTTCTCATAAATATGATTATCATTCCTTTTTATATTTGGTTAGCCCGTAATTAATAGCTAAATTGTCTTCGAAGTTTCCTTGTTGTCAAAATGTTTTTTTCTTCATATTTGTTTTGTATATTAAATCAACCTGGTTTTTTTCATATATGAATCATGCACCGCAATAGCTGATTACACTGTATATACAAATATTGGATTAAAATTCTGATTACGATATGCATTTTTGTCGTACAGCTAGCATATGACATCCACACTTTGCTATCGTTACGATGACTCACAGCCTGCACTTGTTTACGTATAAAGGATGTTACACAGAATGTATACCCGCTTCTCGGAATAACATATTCTATTTTTAGACATAGACTGCAGCCAACCTCAATACTTGCTGTACACTGACAAACGAGTGTGACACGTCTGGTAAGTTTATATATTTCTGTTTAGATATGTCACTACTACACTACCTAAAGATTGCATTTGATCTATATTCAATCTTCAAATGTAGGAACAGATACACTAGCGTGACTAAAAAGGTGTGTCAGTCATGAGCAATTGGAAACGGATTTTTTTTAAATACATCCATTAAGTAGCATTAAGTTATTTCAAATCATCATAGAAATTCAACCTTGCATTTATTTTGGGGGGATTTATCAAATTAGATTTAGATATATATATAACTAAATCATCATCCGTGTAATGATTATTGTGTAGCCTATGTATGTCTCTAATAAGGAAGTGAATCAATAAAATGAATCATATTTGTGAAGACTGTGTATACTACATGCGAACCGGTGTCATATCATATTTGTATCCCCTACCATAAAAGTGTCCGGGGATACGTTTTGTCCATCAGGAAAGACGTACCCCCAATAGTTGTGTAACGGATGCGTACTGTCAGTTCGTTACCAAGTTCTATCTTGGACCCAGTAACTGTTTAACAAATAGTAAAATGCCCACCATATATATACAAAATACTGGCCTGTCTACCTGACTCAAATAATGATATAAACTATACGAATTCAATAACTATTCTCTAAACTACACCCGGTAGATAACTAACATTTATTGCACCTTAACACTGACATGTATAGAGTCTCAATACCAACTAAAACACTATATCACATATATACCCGCCACCCTGTGTCGGTAGTAAATAATTAGCCTTTTACCGCAACACCCGTGACTGTACAAACTTGACCGTGACACACTTTGACCACGTCAGCCTTCACCGCGACACACGTGCATTGACTGCGTCACCTTTTGCCTCAATCACTTGGACCAAGTCAGCTATACACTGTGTCTCGGCAAAACCTGTGCCTCGGTACCCTGTCACTGTACCTGATCAACTACACATTACCCTGTACTGTGATCTCCCGTGACTTTGTACATTTGTATAAGACGTGTAAGAATTATTGGTTCTGATTTTAAAGGATTACAGTGGAGCCCTAACTTATTCAGCTAGGCCCAAACTTTTTCAGCTTGGTCACTGTTACCTTTTATTCTCAGCTAGAGATCCTTTACGTTCGTCTGTCAGCATCAGAGAGAGAGAGAGAGAGCTTTTCGTCTGGTGGAACCTCTATTTATACGACTACCCATCTAATGAAATGCGTTCTTTCAAACAACCAATCAAAAGTGCTCTTTCTTTTACAAACTACAGAAATAACTACTACAAGTCTACATTGCTAATCCTTTATTGTGTAATGTTGTAAATCACATGGAATCAATCGTTTCAGTTGTATTCCCCTTCAAATCTGTACAGATATCCATTTGTCTAATTTTACCTGGTCAGGTGTATGTTACATAACACCTGTGAATGTTAAATAACACATGCAGTCAGTATCAGGGTGGGGCAGGGCTTATTTGATTGTGATTCTTATTTGTTAGTCTAGACTAATTGGTATGTCATCAGAAAGTGCTAGGGAAGGTAATTTTGTTTGGAGATCTTAATAGTAAAATGGTTATTCAACATTACTATATAACTAATGATAATGTAAATTAAGAAACTCTGAATATTATACACAATGTTGTTAAATAAGTTAATGTATTATCAACTCGTTCTAACATGGACTCTACTGTTAATCAGAAAACTCCATTATATTTGTAAAACTACTTCGCTGAGAATTGTGAACGGGCGCCATATTTAAGACGATCCGAAGGTAGTATAAACAGTAGAGGATCTAGTTTGATTATTTACGTGTTAACATGCTACAATATAACCTACTTCAGAATAGTGTTCATTTTGAGATTACAATCTTTACTGTTTTTCAGAACATTCTCCAGTATTATCATAGATTTAAATGTGAACAATACATCATATCAAGGTAATGATATAGTAACTAGGGTTGTGAGAATAACATTGTAATGATAGAAACAAGGTAATGATAGTAACAAAGTAATGATAGTAACAAGGTAATGATAGTAACAAAGTAATCATAGTAACAAGGTTATGGTAGTGACAAGGTTAACAAGGTAATAATAATAACAATGTTATGAAAGTACCATGGTAATGCTAGTAACATTGTAATGATATTAACAAGGTTATGATAGTAACATGGTATTGATAGTGACAAAGTAATGATAGTAACAAGGTAATGATATTAACAAAGGTAATGATATTTACAAGGTTATGGTAGTGACAAGGTTAACAAGGTAATGATAGCAACAAGGTTATGATAGTAACAATGCAATGATATTAACAAGCTAATAATATTCAAAATGTTATTATATTATTAAGGTAATGATAGTAACAAATTAATGATATAAACAAGGTTATGATAGTAACATGGTTATGATAGTAAAAAAGGTTATGGTAGTTACAAGGTTAACAAGGTAATAATAGTAACAATGTTATGAAAGTAACATGGTAATGCTAGTAACATTGTAATGATATTAACAAGGTTATGATAGTAACATGGTATTGATAGTGACAAAGTAATGATAGTAACAAGGTAATGATATTAACAAAGGTAATGATATTAACAAGGTTATGGTAGTGACAAGGTTAACAAGGTAATGATAGCAACAAGGTTATGATAGTAACAAGGTAATGATATTAACAAGCTAATAATATTTAAAATGTTATTATAGTATAAAGGTAATGATAGTAACAAATTAATGATATAAACAAGGTTATGATAGTAACATGGTTATGATATTAACATGATAATGATAACAACAAGGTTAAAAAGGTAGTAATAGTAACAAGGTTATGATAGTAACATGGTAATGATAGTAACAAGGTTATGATAGTAACAAGGTAATGTTATTAACAAGATTATGATAGTATCAATGTTATTATAGTAACAAGGTAATGAGAGTAAAAAATAATAATATTAACAAGGTTATGAAAGTAACATTTTAATGATAGTAACAAGGAAATGATAGTAACAAGGTAAGAATAGTAACAAAGTAATGATAGCAACAAGGTTATGATATTAACAAGGTAATGATAGCAACAAGGTTATAATAGTAACAAGGTTAATAAGGTAATAATAGTAACAAGGTTATAATATTAACATGGTAATGATAGTAACAAGATAATGATATTAACAAGGTTATGATATTAACATTTTTATGATAGTAAAAAGGTAATTATATTAACAAGATACTAATAGTAACAAGGAAATGGCAGTAACAAGGTAATGATAGCAACAAGGTAAATATAGTAACAAGGTAATGCTAGTAACAAGGCAATGCTAGTAACAAGGTTATGATATTAACAAGGTAATGATAGTAACATTGTAATGAAAGTAACAATGCAATGATAGTAACAAGGTTATGATAGTGGCAAGGTTAATAAGGTTATAATAGTAACAAGGTTATGGTAATTACATGGTAATGATAGTAACAAGGTAATGATATTAACAAGGTAAGGATAGTAACAAGGTAAGGATAGTAACAAGGTAAGGATAGTAACAAGGTAATGATATTAACAAGGTAATGATAGTAACAAGGTAAGGATAGTAACAAGGAAAAGAGATACACCAATATAAAATGGAATGAAGATCATCATGAGAGATTTTTTTAGTTATTTGAAGAAAATAGTGTAAATGTTTTAAATGTCTTCTATGTTTTAGAGAATAATCGCGATGGTGTAGATGAGAGTGTGACGAAGTTTACAAATATAATGAATGAACCATTGATGCATTTGAATGTCGTAAATTCCAATTTAAGTGCTGAAAGTCATGTTGATGATTAGCCATGGTTTAATGAAGTTTGCAACAACATGAATGTTGAATATAACTATTATCAATCACAACAAGATACTATGTTGAAAATATATGAGAAAAAGTAATCAGATAGTTTTGTATTGTAAGTTTGGAAATAGAAAGTATAATGGGATATGTACTCTTGCCGAACATAACTTTTATTATTGTAACTGTAGAACGAGCGACACAGATTTGCTCAGCAAAGAAAACACGATGATACACTCTTTACAACATATACATTTACTTACATTACATACATGTACAAAGATATGATACAAAATAGCTAATTATAACACACCCCCACACACGCACACTCGCTCTTAGCACACTGTTACACATAAAGAGTCTCCATAATTTTCCATTCCGTCCTCCAACTTTCCTCAATGAACTCCTCCTGGTCGTTGACCACACGCCAGCTATGAGTACATGAATCTGTCAAGTAACCAAATAACGCCACACACTACGGCTAGCCCAGAAAAATCAAGTGAAGCTCTGAATTGCTCAAACAAGGCAACACACCATCAACTGGTGACACCAACCACATCGGTGTATAAAGAGCGACCTCTTCAACACATGCATGTAGAATACGTCAGCTTAGTTGGCCTGATCTCCGAGTGACGACAACTCTAGACGATGGGGTAATATCCGCAACAGAACTACACACCAATGACTCTGTCGTAGTCATAGCACTATCGTGCAACGGCGGGTCTGGTTACACCCTCTGAAATCCAGGGGTAAAACTAATAAAAAGACGAAAACACGACGTAAGATATAGAATTCCTGACGAGAATACCATAACTGGGACTATAACTACCATACTCACATTTCACTTACGCGCTTCCATACTTTATAACCTAGTCAAACTGAGGTTTAGAATTTAATAACATTTCATATCATTTAGCCTAAACAGGTAATATAGGACATAAAGGGCAATACAGACAGCAATATAATATAACGAAATAGCAAATCAGAAGTCTTGCGGTCTACAATATCCAAACAACCCCTGCATATGCAACATACGGGCCTCCATACATACTGATAAATTATTTATCAAACAACACTAGACAAATGATATATATAGGTGTAAGATCATTAATACATTGCAGTTAAACCATTGTTTTACTCATAACACCAATGCATAACGCTTACAGCATGCCTAAATCAACCATATAGGAAATACACATGCAAACACAATAATATTTTAATGAGTTGTCATTAACAGAACCAGACGATAATGGAATGGTATGATATGGTGTTAGTGTATTAAGTTCTCGTTTACAAGAATTAGATCAAAATATATTTGATTGTGAGGTTATTGTTATAGAGTATCTCATAAATGTTCTGGTGATATTGTACTGTAATGGGGATGCTTTTATGGTGGCTGTCACAAAATTTATCTGTACCCTGCATGTCTCCTCACTGGTAGGTGTGACCCCTGCTCCCCTGTTATATAATACAGGTGTCATTCCCGATTTATCTATTTAAGTCACCATGACACCTTCACAGTTACGTATAACTATTTTTATGTTTGTCGTCCCCAAATTAACCTTGTACAATTCGAATGAAAAAAGATGATGAGGGGGACTAAAAATATTATAAAGCGATACTATCATGATGGCCAGAAAAAGTGTACGGATATTTTTATGAGGGGGGTGGGGGGGATACAAATATGATATGACACCGAAAGTGTTTTGATGGCTATAACAAATACATATGACTTGGAGTTATTGAAAAGAAAATACAGAAAACGAAAAGAAACATGTATTTATTTGTCGGTCATAACAATAACAATATTAACATAACATTAGTGATGATGCAAATCTTGTTGAATATCATTTGTAAACACTAGTATAAACAGAAACCTCATTGACTAAAGAATGAATACAATATTATAGACAATAAGTATTGTTAGTTGATGTGAAATTCATACAAGTGTGCCCTTATACATAAATGAAGCTATAATTACAACAGAATGGTCAATTTGTCAATAAAACATAAAACAGCTGAACCATTTTAATGGAAGATATTCTGTATCCAGTTGTTTTAGATTTCAGAAATCAGCATGGCGTCATCAGATGAACATCTGATGGTGGCTGCCATTGATTTCGGTAACATATACTCAGGATACGCCTTTTCTTTCCGTTGTGATTATGAAAAGGATCCATTGAAGATCTCAACCAACAACTTGACAGCAGGATCAAGAGGTCTAAAGGTCTCGAAGACGTCCACTTGTATTCTCTTTGAACCCAACGGAGACTTCCACTCTTTTGGATTTGAGGCTGAAGACAAGTACTCTGATCTTACTTTAGACGGGGAACATGAAGGATGGTATTACTTCCACCGATTTAAAATGAGGCTTTATGAGAACAAGGTAGTAATGTAGTCTGCTTGGTTAATTACTTTCAAAATTGAAAACATGTATATATCAAATCTGTAAAAGAAGATGAATTCTTTTAAATTAAATGGGTTTATTTTTCTCCTTCGTTTGAAGCTACTGGCTAAAATATGTATAGACATCAATACAATTACACTGCTGATTACCAAAAGACATCAGAGAAATTATTGTACAAATGACAATTGAATAATACCATTTAATACAAATTTTAGAGCCTAACTAAACTTAAAATGAATCATACGGCTGCTTCATTCCGGAACATGTCAGTGATGCGAAGGTCCTGAAATTTGAAGCCTAATATGCGGATGAGGAAAATCCAGAGTGATTGAAATTTTTAGAAGACTTTCATTTTAGTATTGAAACGGGGATGGGATTTGGTGCAGAGGACGCTACGACACCAACTCAGCCAGGTTCAGTTCATACATATTTATTCAGAAATAGATGAAAACCTGAAACAATACAACACTATATTAGATGGACAGTACATTACGGATTACCATAGGACACAATTTCAACAATACTATAAGATAACAATACCATCACAGATTGGACTTTACATTACATTACAATGCATTACATTACATTATCTTAAAATACTTGAAACTTGAGATTACTGATGACTTTACAGACAATAGTTTAATTATAATATTACATGTGTACTATATTAATTACTATGACATGTTACTTTCAACAAACTATATAGATATACCTAATTTGAACTGAACATGAACACTTACTCCATCATTGTGACAGTGTTCTTGAATACAATGTATATGATACGATAGCTATGATGAACAATGGCTTGGCCTAAACAACAAATATAAAAAAAGGTTCTCTGAATACAAAGACTACTACAATTACTTCCATAAGATGTACAATACATACATGACTAAATTAGGATTATTCTAAATTCCCAAATTCCTAGAATAAATTAATTACTTTTAAACATTATGGATATTTCAAAATGACCACAAGCCTGAACACTTTTTACCTGACACACTAGCACAGTGAATCAATTAAAATAAGATATTACAGATATATAAAGTGCACTAGTATAGCACATCATAATTGACTATGTAAATCAGTTACTATTACATTATTAGCATTGAATAAAATTAGACATCGATATATGATTTTTTTACTCAAACATAATTAAGATACTCAATACTTAATTTTGAATATGAATCAATAAACCTGATATGGTTACCAGTCCCTGACAATGGCCATCATCTGTACCAACAAATTTTCAGTTTGGTAAATTATTTAAAATCACCATCTGCCTTATATAGTTTTATTTAAGTCTTGAATTCCTTCCTGTTTCCTTCCCTATCTGCTTTCTTTCTCTCTTCCTCTCTCTAGCCATCTGCCTTCTTTCTCTCCTCTATCTAACCATTTTCTATCATAATCTGTCTCTTCTCTCCTTTTTTCTATGTATGTATGTATGTATGTATGTATGTATGTAAGGGCGTGTGTGTGTGAACTTCTTTGTGTACATACAATGAAAAAATGCAAAAAATAAAATAAATATAAAAAAAGTTGATTATTTATGCTGTACATTAGATATATGATGAACACTCACAATTTGACAAATCCGTAGATGATGATGATGATGATGATGATGATGATGCATGTTAGTGATGATGTGTATGATGATGCATGCTAATGATGATATATATGTGTATTAGGATGATGTGTATGATAATACATGTAAGTGATGATGTGTATGATAATACATGTTTAATGATGATGTGTATGATAATACATGTTTAATGATGATGTGTATGAGGATGATGTGTATAATAATACATACATGTTTAATGATGATGTATATGATAACACATGCATGTTTAATGATGATGTGTATGAGGATGATATGTATGATGATACATGTTAATGGTGATGTGTATGGTGATGATGTGTATAATAATACATGCATGTTTAATGATGATGTGTACGGTGATGATGTGTATAATAATACATGCATGTTTAATGATGATGTGTATGATAATACATGTTTAATGATGATGTGTATGAGGATGATGTGTATGATGATACATGTTAATGGTGATGTGTAGTATGATGATGATATGTATGATGATACACGTTAATTGTGATGTGTATGGTGATGATGTGTATGATAATACATGTTTAATGATGATGTGTATGACGATACATGTTAATGATGATGTGTATGATGATGATGTGTATGAGAATATATGTTTAATGATGATGTGTATGATGGTACATGTTTAATGATGATGTGTATGATGATGATGTGTATGATGATACATGTTTAATGATGATGTGTGTGATGATAATGTGTATGATGATACATGTTGGACATATGTATGTATGTATGTAAGGGCATGTGTGTGTGAACTTCTTTGTGTACATACAATGAAAAAATGCAAAAATAAAATAAATATAAAAAAAAAAAATTAGACATTAATACATTTAAACAAGTTAAAAGTTCCTACCTCCTGCCTGGTGTCTGTTATCCAGTCAGCGCTGCAATACCCCTGTCCAATGCTCATGCCCAGCATTTGCAGTGGGACAGGTAGGGAAAGAGTCACATGACCAGCAGTGGGACAGGTAGGGGAAGGGTCACATGACTAGCACACAGGTAAAGGTCACAGAACACAAACATAAACAGAAGCACATGACACTACACAGCTGACAGCTGGACAATAACACAGGACAGTACTAGACACCACGATACTGCACAATCATCATTATTATCATGTTATTACAATTTAATTACAATGCAGAATATACTGTTTATTAATAATATATATATATATATATATATCATCATCTGAAAAACCCGGACAGGCTGTCTCTGCAACAGTATACAGATATAATGTAGATGTATAGTGAAAGACACTGTGGAAGCTGTAAGGCTATGATGACGACGACACAAAAGATACTTATTTCCATTATACATAACCTATTCTACAATAGCTTACGTTCATTTCCCTTTCAGCACTTAAGCCGCTCGTTTAAGATAAAAGATGATCAGGGTCACTGCATGCCTGTTATCAAGGTGTTTACAGCAGTCATCAAGTACCTCAAGGATCATATGCTGAAGGTATTGGAAACTCAGCTGGAGTACTTCCAACAGTCAGACATCCAATGGGTCCTTACTGTTCCGAAAATCTCGTCTGATTCTTCAAAACAACTCATGCGGGAGGCAGCTGAAGAGGTAATTAGGAATTTATCAAATCAAAACAATATCTTTAACAAGAAATGTTAATCTTATATTATTTATTATTTCACTATAATATTTTTGATGTTTTATTTCTCTCTTCTATTAGTAATAGTTTAAATCACGAGCATCAGTTTACCTGTGCCTAACGCAATGCATCGCCTCCATGTAACTCAGAGTGCTATATTTGATTGTTGAGGTGTATTGTGCTTCTAGGCTGGTATCAGAAGTGATCGCGTGATTATTGTTCTAGAACCTGAGGCAGCGTCCTTATACTGCAAGCATTTGCAGCGAACAGAAAACGATGACACATTTAATACTGGATCAAAGTATCTGGTGCTGGACGCTGGTACGTGAAAACATCATGCATGTGTTAGGTGAAATGTTAAAACCATTCTTACATAACGAAATAATATATTAAATTCAAAAGCGGGTCTTTCGCAATTTAACAAACAACATTTATTATTCAAATCGTTTATTTTGCAACTACCTTATGATGTGTATGGAAGTTTAGGACCTACATCGATTAATCGCATGTTTGTATTATTCTTAATTTCGTACTTTAAAATATCTTCATACCTAGGTCCGACTATTGATATCACGATACATCAGGTTCAAAAGGATGGATCATTGATGGACATCATTGAAGAGGCCATTGGAGGAAACTGGGGAGGTGACATGGTTGATCATGCTTTCCAACATTTACTGATTGAAATTATAGGAATCCATGCCTTTCACCGTTTGCTTCAAGAAGACAGGTACAGCATGATCGAATTCTTTAGGGAATTTGAAGCGAAAATGCACACTATCACACCCAATCCTTCGTCCAAAGTAGTTATCCTCAATGTACCAGTCACAGTGAATGACGTGTGCATAAATGAGAATGATAAAGATATAGCCACGATTGTAAAGTCGAGATTTTCGTTCAACGGAAACGTGTCCATTGTTCGCAATAAGCTTAAAATCAGCGGAGAGCGAGCAAAAGAATTTTTCAGTGAGCCCGTGAACCATATCGTTACCCATTTGAAAAAAATTCTAAAAGAGCCGAATGCTGGAGAGGTAAAGGCTATCTTGATGGTCGGAGGTTTCTCAGGGTCCCTCATACTTCAAAATGAAATAAAAACAAATTTTCCACACCTGCGAGTAATTGTGCCTCCTGATCCGGGGCTATCGGTTCTTAAAGGTGCTGTTTTACTCGGATATGCACCGAGGCCCGTCAATTCAAGATTTTGCAGATATACTTACGGCTCAGGCCAAGCATGGACATTTAATCCTGAGAAATACGATTCTGCTATGCCTTTCACCACTTCAACTGGAAAAGGGAAAGTTGATGATTTATTTGATATCCATGTTGTTGCTGGAGAGTGCGTGGATTTCCGAATGCCACGGATAGTTAGATTTTATCACCCAAGTGAACCTGACCACACTGCCATTCGATTCTCTTTGTACTCTTCCATAGAGAAAAATCCCAAGTACGTAACAGATCCCGGATGTGCCATGATCGGTCATGTGACAATCACTCTGCCTGACAGTGCTAAGGGACTGGACTGGTTGGTAGAGGTACAGATATCTTATATTAAAACAGAAATCGAGATTACAGCTTTTGATAGAAGTAATGGGATGGAAGCCGCCATGGCAGTCGGGGTTTCTGGAGGTGTTGAGCTAGAGCAGCCACTTTAACATTGCAAAAAAGGTGTTTTGTGATTTTAAATGTTACCGGTATTAATGATTAGAAATAACAAACAAACAAAACTGTCATTCTTTGAGTACGGATTCATTAGTATAGAAACAAGAGAATGATAGTGTAAAGATATGAGAAGGTACTCGATTCAACTTCACTATTAACATAAATTGTGAATGATAATAACACATCTATTGAATTTGGAGTTTACGGCTTTTATCTTATCAACAAAACTATAAAGGAAATATTTTGGATTTCTACAAGTAAATACAAGAAAATATATAAAAAATATTTTTGTGCAGATCATTTTTTTTTAAATTTCATCCTTTTTGCTGCAATTTGTTAAACTCTTAGCACCGTGGAATCGTATTTTGCTCTATCAAGTACTTCTATAAATTGTTACTATGAAATGTTTGCCTTAGTAAACATATTGATTTTCCTTGTCTCAAATTACTTACCTTAATTGTTTAACAGAGAAAAAGATATTCTAGTTTCTCAGTTTAACTTGTTAAAAAATGTTAAATTGTCATTTACTGGTCAATGTTCGAGCAGAAAATGATAATCCAAAGTACTTGAGTGGAAGACAAGTTGAAGAAAATTATTTTCTCAATTCTCTCCGCGATTTTCACAAATCACTTTAATCACCTAACAAGAAAATGGCAAATGTTGAAAGGTGGACTGTACAACTTTTTTGAAACACATATCCTTCACCTTTATATGCTTACAGAAGCAGAAATGTAATGATCTACTTATTAACAATATATTAAACAGTACAACATTTGAAGCATTAAGTAACCACTTGACATCAGAACGATTTTGCATGTATATAGTTTATAGAAAATCCAAGCGTCCACCATGCATATTTACTACGTGTCTTTTTCAATGAGTGTTTTTATGACCTCGCGAACGACCTGACGGCAAACTACCATACCCGGAAGTCTGAGGAAATCAGAAGGAAAATAAACGAAATATTAGAATAGTAGAATGCAGTTTTCAGCTTGATGCTTCAATACAAACAGCCTCGTAGTATCTATCTATAAAGGGAAAATATGTAGTCACAAAGTGGAAGATATTTAAATAAGCTCAACTAATGAGATGTAATAATGATAATCTAATATACATCACTACAATGATGTTTGATTTCGCTTTTTTCACATTATAATTTGTCTTCATACATATTTGATTGCATTTGTTATTTGACAAGGTGGCAATCAATTGGGATTCACCATTCGCTTTGTCAATTGAAATGAATACATTAAAATATAATGAAAAGAAATATTAAAATGTTGTAAATAACTTCCTTATTTCGTGTAAAGAGCAGCTTACATTTCTAGAATACCATATCAAGATTGTTGATATAATGCTACAAATAGCACGCATGAATGTTTTACGTACTATTGTCTGATGTGCTTCCTGTGTAGTATTCGGATATGTTCACTTAGTTTGACCAGTTCGCTAGTGAATGCTTTTGTGTCATTCATTGCTGATGTTAATGAGCGTAACTTGGTATTGTTTAAACGTCCCAACTGTATTGTTTTTTGCGTCTCTGGAATATTGTTTATGTGTGTCCCTGGTGCAATGTTTATGTGTGTCCCTGGTGTAATGTTTATGTGTGTCCCTGGTGTTATGTTTACATGTGTCCCTGGTGTATTGTGTATATATTTTACTTGATTATTGTTTAAGGGTGTTCCTTGTGTACGTGTGTTCCTTGTGTATTGTGTATGTGTGTCACAGACGTATTGTTTATGTGTTTCCTTAGTGAAGTGTTTAAGTTTGCAACATATGTATTGTGTATATGTGTCCCTGGTGTGTTGTTGTTGTTCTTTGTCACAAGTGTACCACATTTACCGACTTTACGAAAGTGTTCTTTGCATTCACTTAGCTGCGACGATGGGTTTCCATGTTAATAAAGCCTTCTGTTTGTTATTTACTAACGGTTAATTAAACATTACCAAATTTGGAGTATCTACTGTCAGTATCAGTATATTGTATTTTTAACATCGATTGTGTTCGTAAATTATGCACCGTTCAATTGCGATGTTATTTGATTTCAGCAAACGATTTTTTGATAGTATTAGCAAGGTCGAAAATATTTGAAAACTTTGAATCTACTATGAAATAATGGTAAGTTATTATTTATTCATTTATTCAGCTATTCTGTACCCAAGTGTACTAAAGTATTGAAATATGCTATTCGTCGGTGCGTTTTTGTGAATCTCATAACCTTACAAAGTTATGTAGTACTTAGGCATGAATCGTCAATGTTGTGGAAATATTATTGCAAATAATGTAAACAAATTGTCATTGTTCTCCATGTAATAATAAAAAAATTGAAAATGATTAACCGTAGAATTGAACTGCTATACATTGACATTGATATGGATTAGGAAACACTGAATAGATTTAAAATGAACATGCGCCATTACTGTGCTTCATTGAATTTCCTTTATCCAGTTTTATTATTCATATCGTAAATGGATTTAAACTGAAAACAGTTCAATACTTGAATATGTTAATTAATGAATAATAAACTACAGTATTTAAAAGCAAATTCCTATTGAAGATAACAAAACAAAAGTGCATTAGTTTTCTATTATTTTTGTGCTCATTTGATCGAGATCTCGTTTGAAAATTCACAATTGGGAGATTATTTTTCCAGATTCTGCACACGACATTCCATCTTCTATGTACATTTTTGACTGCAAATTGCATAATTATCTCATTGAGAAATAGTCTTTTTGCGACATGAAGTTTGATATCAAGTGGTTCTGCAGTTGCTAACCTTGTTCTTATTTGGGAACGTGACATTACTTACTTGGACTGACCAATGTTTACATGACGTACCGATGATGAAACAAAAGGCGTTTCCGATTACGAAACCCTTGCTGTTATTCTTGTAGTTTTTCAATATTTTTCATGTAGTTTTTGTTCATATTTATAACGAACTAAGGGGGAACCAGGTTGTCCGTCCGTCTGTCAGTGAAGACATATCTTGTCCGGTCAATTCCTCCTAAAACTTGCGAAGCAATTTTTAAAAACTACACAGAAATGTACGTTATTATGTCATGGAAAATTCCATGGTCGTACATAAAATTGAGGTCACAGGGACTGAAACTAAACCAAATTGATGTAAAAACTCTTTAATCTGCGGGGGGTAGTAGTTATCCTCAGGATGACAGTTCTACTTTGTCCTAGTTTTATTGAATTTGAGTTTGGATTATGATTCTGTTGATATTAAGATTTCGGTTCATAGCAGCGAAGAATATAAAATTACAATATTATTTACTTATTGTCAACAATTCTCTGAGAAGCACAACAATATTTCGAAAACAACAAGAAAATACCATCATAATCATGAATCAAACTCAGAAGCAACTTGGATCATAAGAAATACTTGAAACTCCGATTATGTCCATTTATTCAATCATTGATTACAGATACAACCTATACATATATATGCATATATAAAATGATAATGTTTCACTATTGGTTTTGTACTGAAAAACCTTCCACACGGAAATGAAAATGAAATATATAGACTTTATTTATTATACAGCAATTATGAAGCATGCTATTTCAACGCATACTAATCTTGTTGGCCCGGATGTAAGCACGCGGTGGGTCTGTAGTGCCCGTGGAAAAGCCAAGTGGTCAGGCAGGTGACCCCTTACCATTCCATGTCTGTTCGGGGAATCGTACCTGTTATCACGGAGCCAACGACCATCCGAAAAAACCTCGATGCAAATAACATGTTTATATACACGACAATATATATATATATATTCAAAAAAGATTTTTTTAAAAATAATCAATAGCATAGTTAATTAATGAAACACAATACGTAAACAGAAAAGTATCATCAACACTGATATATGCTGGTCTAAAGATTAAACCAACTCTGGAAATGTTAAATATTTATATGTAAATAAACATATATATATATCGGACTGAATGCAATCCTAATTTTGACATAAGGAGCAAACACCACACACTGTTGTCCTAAGAGTCTGATAACGAGGTTGTTAAAGGTCATGGAAACAAACTCAATATTATTTCTATGAATAAATTGGCATAATTAAAAAGAAAACTTCTCAATTTAATTATGCATTGTCTTATTTAATGTGACAAATAAAGGAGATGTGATTTTCAAAAATACATTGAATGTTAATCAATAAAATTGAATTTTCCTTTAAGAATTGATAGACTAATGAAGTTGAGTATTTGAAAGAGCGTTTGTAAAACACTATTGTAGTTAAGATGTAAATATATTAACAACGTAAGTTAATGCGAGCAGCTATATATTCCTTTTTTTGTTTTTGTTTCAAATTTTTTATACATATAGAGAGAAAGACTTAACATCAACATACAAAAATGAAAACATAAAGACACTATAATCAGCTTACATAAAACAAACATTACATCCTAGCAGCATTCACTCACCATGCACACCAAGTATTGAGTATAGAAGATGAGGGGGAAAATGGATATTTGTATGAAAATAGCTAAATTAGAAGATATATTAATGATTATGGCTGGCTTAGTAAAAGGCAAAAGAGATGTTATTAGTAATATTGATATAGGGTTTTTATAACAGAGATCAAGCAGAGTCAAATTTTCCCATCAATAGTTTTTGAGAGTCACTTTTATTTGCGATATATTTTTGGATGTTATAATATTCTTTTATATCTTTTTTTTTTACCAAAGTAGCCACATTTAAAGATTTACAAAGACATCTGGATCTGTAAATGTACTGTTTTATTATTAGAATAATAATATTATCAGTGATATAGTAGCCATTTCGATCGTTAATAAAGCCAAATTAA